AAAAAAAAAAAAAAAAAAAAAAAAAAAAAAAAAACAAAACATGGTTGGACTGAACTCAGCGAGATCTCCCCGAATCCGCAAAGAAAACTTCGAACAGAGAAGTTTCATTTGGGGGGTTGCGGGGTTGGGGGGGTTTGGGGGCTTATGGTGAGGGTGTTAGTGGTGGGGTTTCAGCAAGCACGGGCTTCAGCAGACACTGACAACAACGTACCTGGCTTTCTGCAAACGTTAACCTTCCGCCCAAAACTTTGAAAAGGGGGCTGGGGGTGTTAATGGCAGGGTAGGGACAGTACTTCCCACCACCCACCAAAAAAGGGGGTGGGGGTTATAGTGTTACGGGGTGCTTATCACTGCGGTCTGGTCCAAGTTGCCCTCGATAAGGGTGATGGTCCTAAGTGCTGGTCACACTGAGGTAGGATAGTAGGGATAGGGGGTGCGCTGGGAGCATTAACGTGGGGAGGGGTAGGGAAGGTGGCCTATCCTGTCAGGACGACCACCGGCTGCTGCTGCCAGTGACCACCGTGGGTCTAGTCCTTGGCCTATACAACACCCTGGGCTTGAAAAAAAAAAAAAAAGTTGCGCTACAGCCAACCGGGGGGGAACCGGCCCGGTCGACTGGCCGGTAGAACCGGTCCGGTTCCGGTTGGGGGAGGGCCCCCCGGTCCTACCGGGTTTGCAGCACTGCTTCAAAAGCAAGTAATGTGGCGGTCAGCACGGGCAACTTTCGGGCCCGGGCCGCCGTTGATAAATTTCAGCGGCCGTCCGTGTGGCGTTCCTGGCCTCCGAAAGTCGTGGTGAGGGGTGCGGGGTGCGCAGCCGATATATGGAAAAGGTACTGGCGGTTTAAGAATCAGTTTGTGAGGAACACGATTAGCTCTAGTCCAACCATTCAATCACGTCCCTCAGCTATGTCAATCTTACGGCTGGTAACCTCTTATCTTAAAGTCATCTATCTCAAAGTCATCAGCAAAATGCACACGCATACCTAACACATTGAAAGCTCCGGTCCATAGGTCTTCACATTTTTCGCCATGCACGACCTGGCACTACTGCCACGACATAACCTCGATGTTGTTGACTATATTTATATTGCCCTCAATGGATGGATCTAATCAGAAAAACGTCCTCGTGGGAAAACTTAGGGAATCCCTGCAAAACAACCCTGATATCTTCGTTATGGCCCAGAACCCCACCTGCACGCATGACCAGATGCAGCCTTCATATGCAAGCAGAACCCCACTGTGAGTAGTCATTAGGCAATGCCAAGCTTGGTGTGTGTTAAAAACGACTCTCGAATCTTTGTTATGGCTCTAAGTCCCATCTGTATGACCAGATGCGGCCTGGTTATTCAGGCACCACCCCACCATGTGACCATAGATAAGTGGTGACTGGGCAATTTGGGCCCCTCTGTGCATCTGGGGGTGGGGAGACGGGGTCGCCATATGCCCCTGCTGAGCAGCTCAGTCTGGACCCTGCTCAGCCTCACTATATGACGAAGCTGGGCACCAGCCAGGACATATTCTGCTGGAGCCTGCCACAAGTCTGGGCAACACAAGGCCAAGCGCAACACCCAGCGCAGGGGAGAGGGCAACGGCCAGAAATGGAAGACAGTGCCAGGAATAACTGATGATTCCTTTGGGTGGGAGGGAGGGAGGGAGGGAGGGGGGCAGGGAGCGAGAGAGAGTTGGGCGGCCAGGGTGGCAGCAAGAAGGGAGGCAGTCCTTCAGAGGGAGAGCTGGGAGGAGGGATGGGACTCACCTGGTCGGTCTTTATCATGAGAGCTCCAGTGACACACATTCGATTGGACATTGGTGGGAGCAGCACTGTACTGCACAGCATTGGTGATCAAACAGGCATGCTAGAGTGGACTAGGGTGAAGTAATTGTGGGGCAACTGATTGCACTGACCGGTCAATGGGAGAGTCGACCGCCCTTGCAAAATATCATTACCACTATTCTCGTTCATTAGTGGAGGCGAGAAGGGGGAATCGACTCTTCATCAAGAGGTGCCTTTTATACTTATTGCTTTGCCGTTGAGTCAATGACAACCTCGGATGAAGGAAACATAATGCGCTTGTTATTTGAGTTTCTTCACCTCCCATACTCCAGTAACCAATGCTCATTCACCTCCCCAAAAAGTGGGTACAACTAAATATCATGCACGCTCTTCACCCAATTAGGTCGCTAATTGAAGAGGTGGCGTTCTTCTTCTACAACAATTGGTAAGGACAAGTAGAGCCAGTGCGGCTATGCCTGCACAAATGGAAAACACCAATGTGTAAGCCGAATGTCCAGAGCGCAGAATTGATTGCACAGGCTTTTTCTTCTTGTTAGAGGTAACCTAACAGTCGCCCATATATATTCATGGTCTAAATGTATAATCTCTCTCTCTCTCTCTCTCTCTCTCTCTCTCTCTCTCTCTCT